TCCCGCAGCCAGGACCCGCATCTTTCACACCTTTGTATTTCATGTCCCCAAATCCAAGATGATCTTGTTTTGCCTGCTTCCTACTTTCTGACCTTCTTGTCTCTTCCAGTATTCATTCTCTGTCTGACCCTGCAGTGTTACAGGGCCCCCTGGGGCCCCTCTCTAGCTGCCCCCCATTCTCTGGGGTCATCGCTGCCGTTGTGTTCTTGGCTTCAGCTGTCTGTGTGCCGTCGGGTCCTGAGCACAAGCCAGACCCCTCCCTCGCTCTCAGCTGTCTTTCCTTCTCTGTTTCTATCACATCAGGGATTCCAGCTGATTCTTGACTAGCGGCACCTCATGCCAGTCTCTCAATTTAGATCTGCCGCCCATGTCCCTCCCTGTCCCTCCTGTGTTTCTGTCAGCGGCCAGTGCCAGCGCCCAGGCCCCTGCACAGGCCAGAGGCCCGCCGGAGTCCTCAGGTTTTCTGCCTTTCCGGCTCACACGAGTGCCCTCTCTGTGCCGCTGTCTAAAGTCCCGTCGCTTCTGCCTTCTGCTGCAGTGACGCCTGCCTTGTCACCTCTGCATGTGCTCGGGACTGCTTTGTTGCCTTGCAGGGCATTTTTGATCCTGCTCTCTGCCACTGGTCTCCGGCTATGCGCAGCGTGGGAATTGGGGGCCTTCATAGTTCAGTTGCTAGCTAACGTTTGGCGTTCCCTAGAGCCTCTGTGACAACCGCCACAGACCAGAACGAACTCCGCAGTAGGCGTTTAGTCTCTGGTTGATCCTTAGACCTCAGGGGAAGATGAGAGGGGACACTGTCACACCTGCTCCTCAGATGGTAGACACAGGTCTCCACTCTCTGCCTTCATTCACCAGACTCCCACCTATGGCCTGTTCCTGCCGTAGCCTTTGGTTTAGGTCCTACTCTCTCTGTCCTCATTAGAGCTAACTATTATCTCTATCACTGTGACCGTATTTCTGAGCTGTTTCACACCCAAGGGCTCTTGGTTTGTTTGTTTCTTTCTTTTCTTTTTGCCTTCAAGTATGTTTGTGCACCACCAACAGGCCTGGCTCCCAGAAGAGTGTCGGAGCCCTGGAACTGGAGTTGCAGACAGTTGTGAACCACCATGTGGGTGCTGAGAATGGACCCGGGTTCTCCTAACCACTGGGCCATCTTTCCAGCCCTGGCTCTTGGATTTTCAAGGGCTTCTGTTCACCATCTGTCAACCATCTGATCTCAACTCCTTTCTCCTTCTTTGCCCATGGGCTTGTTGTTTATGTTGGTGGTGTTTGTGTTGTTACGTTGTTTATGTTGGTGGTGGTTGTGTTGTTACGTTGTTTATATTGGGTAGGTGGGAACTCACCAGACATCTGGGAAGCTTCCAGGCAGAGGAAAGCAGATGCTCGGAGGACTACAGAGGAGAACTGTGGCCTTAGTTAAGCACAGTCGTATTTCTCTTTTTGTTTGCTCTTTCTGTAATAAGCAGTAGGGCCTGCCCCTCTTGTGAAGGTTCTGACATCTTTCTTTAGGGCCTTTTCTGTTTTCTCTGTCCTCTGAGCATCTGCTTTCCTCTGCCTAGAAGCTTTCCAGATGTCTGGTGAGTTTCCACCTACCCAACATAAACAACGTAACAACACAAACACCACCAACATAAATAACGTAACAACATAAACACCACCAATGTAAATAACGTAACAACACAAACACCACCAACACAAACAACGTAACAACACAAACACCACCAACATAAACAACGTAACAACTATACTGCGCTTTGCTGTGTTTTGATGGCTAATTGTTGGGCCATGTGACCTCCGAAGAGATGCTGCTGCTTGAACCTGGGGGTGGGGCGGCATGCACCCTGCCACTGCCCGGCCCAGAGCAGATGCTAGAAATGTTCAGAGTCCACATCCCACCACAGTTAGTCCCGTAAGACAAGTGGCACATCCCGTGGGGGGCATTGTTTAGCTGCTTGCGTGGATCTTTGCCTTAGATGAAGAAAGAGTTAGACCACAGAGGGAGGTTGTTCCGGATCACCTCAGGCTCCTCCCACACAGAGGTCATGTGACCCCAACCCCTTCCAGGAACAACACAAATTTGAAAGTGAACAGGCTGAGAGTTGCAGGTAGTGACTGCTTGGTTCTCCGGGAGGGTCTCACTGTCTTGGGAAGAGCACAGTGCCAACCAAGTGGGACATTATACCAAGGGGTGCAGTCCAAGCTTTGAGTGACATGCACCCCAGACCTAGTATGGAGCAGGTAGCGCTGGCCACAGAGCTTCCCCTCATGCAGACACCTCGGTGATTCTCCATATTCTTACTCCAGCAAAAAGATTGTAAACACTAAAATTTAACTAACACTTTTTAGATTTCAGTTGAATCGATTTGATTGCCATGTTGAAGACACGCAGAATGGTCCCTTTGTTTTTGATGGGCGTGGGAGAGTATAAGTCTAGGGAAAAACCAACAAACAAGACATTTCTATACATTCCTGCACAGGCAGCCAGGGTGCAAGGAAATTTAGGAAACTGCAAACACTCTCCGTGTAATACCCTTAAACATTCATTTTTTCTAATTACAGTGAATGTGTTCTACTGCCTGTTGGGCTACATGCCACACTCCTTGGGTGTGTTTGACAGATTGTACACTTGTTACATTAGGGGAACAGTCCAAGGTAAATGCTGTTATTCAAATAACCCCCAAAACGAGCATGACCCATAAAAATATTTCACAAGCCCAAGTTAGAAATAGTTCCACTGCCTGTGGTTCCCAGGGAAAGTGCTTGGCTGTCCCAATGTTGGAAGCAGCATGGCTGCCAGGTTCACTTTCGTAGTAGACAGGGACTAGAATAGGCCAAGATGGATAAACATTGCTAACTGTAAACTAACTCAGCCGCAGTGTGGTTCAGCAATGCCCAACCTGCAAGGTGTGCCACTGTGTGTCGGTCGGCTCTTTGCAGATCAGGCTGACATTGAAGGACCTGGTCCTGTGCAAATCCCAAAGCACAGCCTCATGGAGGGTGCTGCAAAATTTGGATCCATTTGGGTTTCCTTCTCTGTTTCTATTACATCAGGGATTCCAGGAAGGGCGCATGGGAGCTTGGGGATGTTTGTGAACAGATGATTGCCCTATTCCTCCTTAACTTCTACTAGAGTTAACATTGAAAATTACATGTAGGGCACACCAGCAAGGGCTTTGTCACCCAGCGAAGAAATTCTGTCTGGGTTAAGGTGGTTCCCTCACGTCCACTTCAGAGCTGTAGCAGCTCAGAGACTATCCACTGGACCCTGTTTCGGGGTTAATAACAGCGAAGCACATGTAAATTGACTTTTCCATATTTTGATAACTGCATCAGCACACCCATTTCTTTTGTGAACCTGCATGTGTTGCTTCATGCATTTAAAACAAATGGAACAAAAAAGCAAAAACCAAGGCATTTTGACAAAACCTCGAGAACTATGGAGCCACAGCAGCTGGAGGGGTGATGGGTGCCCTGGGGCCGGGTCTTTAGAGAGGGAAAGAGGACAACCATGCGAAAACTCGTGAGGTCCGAACCCAAGCCTGGGGATTTTACTTGGTAGTCATTGCCAGTTGACGTGTGTGCTGTGGACATGTAAGCGTCCCCATGGGGAAGCTGGCGGGGTTCCAGGAATGCTGATAGTGCCTTCGCAGCACCAGTGTCCTGCGGCAGTCACAGCACAGGCCTAGCACAGGTTCTGTGCTCTTAGATATGTTCAAGGAGAGGGTACGTGCCCAGTTAGAATGACCAGTGTGGGGCTGGAACAATGTAACGTAATGCCGTGTAGAGCTGTAGCTTGGGGGTTACATTCTAACTGGGTCACTTGGGAGCTTTGGGACCTGGGGCCAGAAACCACTCCAGGCTTCCCCTCTCCTCTCCTCACAGGCCTGTGGGGCATCAGAAGGACCGACAGGAGGAAGCCCTGTTGTTAGTTTTCCCGGGGATCTCCGGTGCCTATGGCAGGCCAGGCGTCAGTCTTGTTTAGCATCTTCTCTGGAGTGACCCAGCTTCATCTTTATGACACCTGTATCACGTGACCACTTCAGAGCGGGAAACTGAGGGTCAGAGGCTTTGTGACTCATGGCCCAAGCCACAAGGCCACACTTCGGTGGAGCCCAGTGCTGCCGTCTTCCTGAGCTTCTAATTGGACTGAGTTCCAGGTCACCCTTCACTCTCCAGACATCCGAGTCCCCTCCTCCTCGCTCTGTGAGTCCACCAATCCTGGTGCCTCCCCGGGATTCTGTACCGTGGTTCTGTACTGTGGTGAGGCTTTGGTCTGTTCAGCTGGGAAGCTCCTTCCCTCCACACCCTGCAGGTTTTAGGTGCTTATTCTAGCTGCTTTACAGGACAGTTACCGGACCACTGACTCCAGAGGTTTTCATGATGTTTCTTTGGCATTTTCCCAGACTCCAAAGAAGTAAAAAGTAAAACAAAAAAACTAGAGCTTTAAACCAGAACAAATAAAAGGAAAAACAAGAACAACAACAAAACCTAGCAAAGGTCACTGTGACATTTACCTGTTTCTTAATTGTAGTTCTGCTGAGGAATTGCTGTATAGAATAGGGGAGTGAACTTTCTTCTTCTTCTTCTTCTTCTTCTTCTTCTTCTTCTTCTTCTTCTTCTTCTCCTCCTCCTCCTCCTCCTCCTCCTCCTCCTCCTCCTCCTTCCTCCTCCTCCTCCTCCTCCTCCTCCTCTTCCTCTCCTTCTCCTTCCCCTTCTCCTCTTCTTCTCAGAAGGAAATACTGTTCGTCTCCATGTAGTCACCAGTTCGTTCAAATTATGTCTGTTGATTGAAAAGGGTCACCTGTGGGTCAGAAATTGAAACAAGCAGTGATCGGCAGGCAGCAAGCTGGTGTCCATGAGTGACATGGGAATGCGATGTGTCCCCGATATGAGGACGAGAGCAGCTGCTGGCACAGTCAGGACGGCTTCCCAGCAAGCTGATGGCAGCTTCTTGCCGCTCTGAACGGGTGTGCTAACCATGACTGCCTCTTGCTCTCTAGTTCTTCCCGTACATCCTGCTGCTCTTTGCCATACTCCTGTACCTGCCCACGCTGTTCTGGCGCTTCGCAGCGGCTCCCCATCTCTGCTCAGACCTGAAGTTTATCATGGAAGAACTTGACAAAGTCTACAACCGTGCCATCAAGGCTGCCAAGAGTGCTCGGGACTTGGACCTGAGAGATGGACCTGGACCGCCAGGAGTGAATGAGAATGTGGGACAAAGGTAACAGCTCCAGAGAGCTGCTCATAGACCCTAGGATAAGTTCCCTGCCTTTTCTCCTGCCGGGCTGGCCCAGAGTGCTGACTGCCAAGAGTGGGAAGGGGTAGGTCGGAGTCTGCCATCAACTGACAGGGGACAACCTCACCCCCTCAACCTCACTGTCCTCGGGTCGGTGTTCCTTTCCCTGTCCAGTCTCAGCCTTTGAAAAGCAGTTCTCACAGGGGTGACAGATCAAAGTCACACATGTAGCTTGCTTGCTTTGATGTCCTGTAATGGGGAAGCCAGAGGATTCTGAGGCAGCCAAGCATGTAGAAAGGATGAGAGAAGCGGACCCAGAAGGTGGAGGCCCTGCCTTCTCACGTTCTTCCTCTGGCTCTGTCTTTGCTAGTAAGAACCATACCTGCGATAGTTGTCTTATTTCAAAAGTGCCTGCCATATTCCTGTCATAGCGTTTCTGTTGCTGTGATAAAATACCACGACCAAAGCAGCTTGAAGGGGAAAGGATTTATTTTAGCTAACGGTTCAACATTACAGTCCATGACTGAAAGAAATCAGGACAAAAACTCAAGCAGAGCAGGAACTGATGCACAGGCCATGGGGGAGTGCTGCTCACTGGCTTGCTCTTCATGGGTGGCTCAGCCTGCTTCCTTACAGCACCCAGAACTGCCAGTCCAGGGGTGGCCCCGCCTGCAGTGACTGGGCCCTCCCACCTCAGTCACCAACAAGAAAATGGAGCGCAGGCTTGTCCCAGGCACATCTGGTACGGGGCCTTCTCAACTGAGGTTCCCTCTGGTAAAATGACTCTAGCTTGTGTCATGTTGACATAAAACTGGCCAGCACAATTCCAGACTCAGTTTGAGTGCAGCATTATTAATTAACTGCATTTGTTTGCCCCTTTTTCTACCCCCTTATTTGTAGATATTAGATAAACACGCTCATGTAGTCTCTTGTGGGAGAGCCAGGGACCAAAACAATGCCATTTGGGTCCCCTGAGTTTCCCCAACCCTCCCTAGTAGAAGCATATGTGTTCTAGTAGGGCTTAAAATTTCTTTATTATGCATGCTTAGCTTGAGATTGTGGTTTATAAACCAACAATACTAAGCCAGCTGCTATTCTGGATCTGATAAATTAACAGACATTGAGCCCTGGGTACTAGGCATTGCCCTAAAAATTGTTAAGCATTAACTCACATTTAATCAACCAGATTGTCTTTAAAATATTAGAAGGGGACCTGGAGAGATGACTCAGCAGTTAAGGGCACTTGCTGCTCTTTCAGAGGGCCTGAGTGTGGTTCCCAGCATCCACATGTTGGCTTACAATTGTCTGTTACTCCAGTTCCAGGCATCTAACACCCTCTTCTGGCTCCCAAGGGCACTGCACACATGCAGGCAAAGTACTCATATAAAATTTTTAAATGTTTAAAATATCAAAGGAAAAAGAGGTTTTAAGCATGGTTTTATCCCCTAGTACCTGAGTGGACTTATAGTTAATGTGTTTGAAGTTTTCTGTGTGACGGTGTTGAACATGCCCGTGCCTTTGTCATTTGAGGAGACTGGCAGGGGTCTCAGTTAGTTTTGTTTGCTTTGTTTTTCAGTCTGTGGGAGATATCTGAAAGCCACTTCAAGTACCCAATCGTGGAGCAGTACTTGAAGACAAAGAAGAACTCTAATCATTTAATCGTGAAGTACATTAGCTGCCGGCTGGTGACATTTGTCGTCATATTGCTGGCATGTATCTACTTGAGCTATTACTTCAGCCTCTCCTCCCTCTCTGACGAGTTTCTGTGCAGCATCAAATCGGGCGTCCTGAGAAATGACAGCGCCATTCCTGACCGCTTCCAGTGCAAGCTCATCGCCGTCGGCATCTTCCAGCTGCTCAGCTTCATTAACCTCATAGTGTATGCTCTGCTGGCTCCTGTGGTCATCTACACGCTGTTCGTCCCGTTCCGGCAGAAGACAGATGTTCTCAAAGTGTATGAAATCCTGCCGACCTTTGATGTTCTACATTTCAAATCTGAAGGCTACAATGACTTGAGCCTCTACAACCTTTTTCTGGAAGAGAACATAAGTGAGCTCAAATCATACAAGTGTCTTAAGGTGCTGGAGAACATTAAAAGCAACGGGCAGGGCATCGACCCCATGCTGCTCCTGACCAACCTAGGCATGATCAAGATGGACGTCATTGATGGAAAAACTCCCATGTCCTCAGAGATCAAGGGAGAGGACCAGAGGAGCCGGACGGGGGAGTTCAAAGGTACGGTTGGCTCTCTGGACAGGCACACCTTTGCAGCAGTCTGGGCTGTCTTTACCCTGCCCGTCACTTGAACCACTGCGCCAGTGCTGTCCTGGGGGAGAGTGTGGGAACCCAAGTTTCCAAACAAGGATGAATCTGTGCTTCTCCCTCTGTCTGCCTCTCCGCCCTCTGGCTGCTCTGTCTGTGTCCTGTTCGCTGTCTCACGCTCCGCCTCTGTGTCTAGCACTCTTCTCGTTGTCTCTGTCTTGTCTTCCTGTCTGTACCTCCCGTCTCTTTGTCCTTCTCTGCCTTTCCTTCTCTTTAGTATCTGTTATTTGTTCTTTGACAAATTCGTACATGTTTACAGTATATCTTGATATCATAGCCAGCTTCTCCCAATCCATCCCCTTCTCTCCTTCCTATCTTTTTTTTAATGACCCACTGAGTCCAGTTAGTGCTGCCTGCAAAGGATGTTGATGACCGTGTTGGGTGTGTCTTGTGCAGGTCACCAGAGCTGCAGTGAGCTCATGAGCGCCAAGCCACATCGTGTTCAGATGCCCACATTTTGTCCCCCACCCCCTTTGCTCTTAATTTTCTTTCCTCTTTGTGGACGTTCCCTGAGCTCTGATTTAGGGGCTGGGGGGTCAGTATTGATGTCTCATTTAGGACTGAGCACTCCGCAGTCACATCACTTCCTCTCAGCACTTTCACCTGTTAGGAGTCTCTGCATTGACTGCAGCCCACTGCAGAAGGGAGGGTCTCTGGTCGAGGTTGAGGGCCACACTGATCTATGGGTAGAACCATAAATGTTTAGAAGGGAGTTGACAACATGTCCATTTAGCTTCTCTAGAACCTAGGGCCTCCTGAGCTATGGGCTTTGGATCATGTTTACTGTACAGGTGTGAATGCCCTCCTCAGGGGCAGGCCTCATATAACCCAGAGAGTGGTGCGTTACTCCCAAAGCCACCATTTGACTTTAAAAGGGAGTGTGTTGGCTCCTTGCCTTGACCTAACTTCACACTAAGCAGCAGACATGGTAAAACAGTGTGTGTGAGAAATCCTCCTCACAGCTGGGTAACACAAGTGCTTCCTGCTTTTCCTCCTTTCTAAATGATGGTTTCAATTTTGACAGATTTGGACCTGAGCAGTGATACTACAGCAAATAATGGAGAGAAGAACTCTCGACAGAGACTTCTGAATTCATCTTGCTAATGGTTTCGTTCTTGAATTTCGAGTCCGTGACTTCTGTAGCTGTTGGGTCTGTGGTTAGTTCGCTGTAAATGTTTTTGGTAGTGATATGGTGTGTGTCTTACCAGTCCCGAATAGACATAATGGCCAGTATTGTCATAGAAGAATGGGTTAGGAATGTCCTACAGACAAAATATGGAAATGAGTAAGTGGGCTTTGTTTGAAGCCCTCATTGAAGGGCAATTAAGAGCACTGAGCCTTCTAGAGAAACACCATTTTGGACTGATGGTGTTGGGAGACCTGGAGCTTCCAGAGAGCAAGCACTTTGAGGGATGTCTTATTTTATGAGATAATAATAAACATGCCAGAATATATTTAATAATGCCCTCTGTGTGCCCTTACTAAGGCTGTTGAACAAGAAAAGCATTCACTGGCCTACCAGCAAGGTTGGCCTGTGCATGGAAGCATCCTAAATTGGGTGTGACCTGGTGTCTCGACTCTTGTACTTGCAAACTCTCCTGTCACTTGCCAGCCTCAGCTAATTGTTGTCCTCTAACCACTGCTCACTGCCCTGTGGCCTCTGCAAGGACAGCAGGCTGAGGCAGTGCCGACTGAACGCAGCTAAGGAGACAGAGTTGTAGTGTGTCAGCTCACGTCGTGGTGACTCTTGGAAGGAAGGCTTCAGAAATAGCCTAGTGGGAAATCTGAATTTAGAGGTCATTGATAGATGTCATCAAGACATCTGAGACAGGAGAACAGCATTTTACTGAAGCACATTGACAGAACACAGGGAGGGACACTTTGCCCAATGGGAGCCGAACACGGAGCTGACACGAGAGTGACCTTTGCCATGCGTTTGGAGACAGATTGTTTATATTTAAGCACAACTTTCTAAATTGCAGATTAATTTATAGAATTGAGTTCATTTGAGAACATTCTAGCATTGATAAGAATTATAGAATAGATTATACACATGGGTAGTTAGGAAAGATATAAGCACTGCTTTGTAAACAGTTTGACTTTTTGTGTCATGTTCTCGCTTTGTAGCTCATGGTCTGCCCTTGGAATTACATCAATCTTCCTCGCTCAGCCTCCTTAGTGTAGGGATCACAGGTGTGAGTCATGAGGCCTGGCTTTATAAACATGCATGCTGACTTAGAAATCGTTAAAGCCTGTTCACATTCTGACCATGTGAACATGCTGTCCATTCACACTTTATATAAAAGCTCTTTAGTCTGCAGAGCTGCCCATTTTTAACACGTTGTTTACATAAAAGTCCTCAGGAACCACCCAGTTTACTTTTGGCCAATCTGAGGGACAATTGTTTACCTAATCTAATTGCTTTATGGTGAGGTGAGAAGTTACATTGGCTGTCTGCCTTTGGGAATGTACAGAGAAGCAGATTTTTCTTGTACTTCCATGGCAGTTTCTGAGTTGGAAAGCTCATATAAATATCAAGAGTGTACTGGGTGCTGTGAATGGCATTGTTCCAGGATACGTCTTTCTGTTGAGTTAGAGTATGACTGTGACATGGTAACTAAGGAACTGATTTCATACATTTTTACATTGTTGTGTTGGAGACATTTCATTACAATTCTCTACAGTATGTCTGTGTGGGTTTTGTTCTTTTTTTTTTTTTTTTTTTTAATGACCTTTAAAATCTTTTTCTAGGATGTGGATTTTTTTTTCAAAAAGCATCATCTTTCTTGTAGCATAACTTGTATTTTGAGGCAGTAAAAATTATATTTTATTTGAGGAGGTCAGGAACTCTCTGAGCTTAGCCATGTGCAGTCCTTTGGTTAGAAAGTGTGCTTGGGGTCCTCAGCCTCTGTTTCAGTTCACCCTCCCATGCTCACTCTGAGCTACGGTAGGACCCATGGCATCCTAGGCATCACACTTGGTACTGGCTGTGACATATATGAATAGGCAGGTCCTGTATTGAGGGCATCAGAGCCTAGCAATATGCAGCAAAGACATGGGCAGGTACTAAGAGACGATAGAATTCCCACAGTAAAGACCCTTCCAGAAGGTAGAAAATCCTCCGTGTTATCGGGAGGAGCCTTATTGTCTGGTCCCCCTGCCCTAAGTTGCATTGCTGGTGATTTATGGTGTCTGGTGTTTTCCTGGAGATAGACGACCAACTTCAGCTGTAAATCCTCTCTGGGCTGAAGTTCAGATAGAGCAGCACCTATGATTTTGAGCAGTTGAGCTGCAGCTGGCTTCTCTACTTCCCTTCCAGGACGTGGGGAGAAGCCCATGGGGTACGTGTATAGCTCCAAGGAGCTGGTAGACTGATGCCCAGTAGTGCACTTTGCCCTGGAGTTAACCCTCCCTCTGCTGGCTTTCTGACTTTGAGCACTTCTCCAGAGATGAGGAGGATGCTTTTGTAAGCACCTGTCCTTTTATTACAGACATACCAGGTCCTCAATGACCACAGTGAGGCCACTGACCTTGTTTCCAGTCTTAGTGAACCACTGAGGTTCCAAACCAGATCCACACAGTTGTGTGGTAGCGGAAGCAGCACTGATCATTCTGGGAGCAGTGTTCTGGCACATTTGCCATTTTACCAAGGGGCACGTAGAGCTCTCGAGAGGCCCCCCAGCTCTGGGTGGGAGCTATTTTTAAAGTTACAACAGAAACGTGTCTTGTAGCTTGTACTTGCTGACTAGCAAGCTGCTCACTGAGTAGGGTGTGCCTTGTGCTTGAGAAAGCTGCTGCCTTCAGCCTGAGACTTGGCTGTATGTTCACTTAATTGAGTCATATTTTTGAACTTCTGAGAGAATGCCTTATTGTTATTCACCTTCATTTCTAGACTCAGACACAAAGTCAGAATGAGGTGGGCAGCCTCTGGCCTGGAGTGACCGGGCAACCAGCATTGACATTGTTTTCTCTGGAGTCATGAGGCTAGCACCTTCCAGTTTTCTTCCCTGTTGAGAGTCTCTGGAGTGCAGGGAGGATGGGCACAACATACAACTTATAGAACATCACCCTGCTTCACAGTGGCACTGTTAGGGGCTGAAACTTATAGAACATCACCCTGCTTCACAGTGGCACTGTTGGTTAGGGGCTGAAACTTATAGAACGTCACCCTGCTTCACAATGGCACTGTTAGGGGCTGAAACTTATAGAACATCACCCTGCTTCACAGTGGCACTGGTAGGGGCTGAAACTCCTGCTTGTTTGGTGGGTCTGTTTTGCATGTTTGTTTGTTTTTTTGGTTTGGTTTGGTTTGGTTTGGTTTTTTGAGACAAGGTTTCTCTGCATAGTTTTGGTACTTGTCCTGGATCTCGCTCTGTAGACTAGGCTGGCCTTGAACTCACAGAGATCCACTTGGCTCTGCCTCTGGAGTGCTGGGATTAAAGGCATGCGCCACCGCCTCCTGGCTGCATGTATGTTTTAACGTGTATATTCCCACCCGAGACCTAGCTCCTGTGGCTTTGTTCCTGTGAAGGACAGGTGGCTACACCTTTCAGGACACACGTGCTGCCGGGTTAAATCCGCAAGTGTCAGAGCAGCACAAATAGATCTACAAAGGTCTAGAGTTTTGATTCGTAACTGTATCACCAACTCTTAAGTCAGCGGCCGAGACACACCAGGCACTTGAGTGAGCGAGCAAGGGGACGGGAGGAAGCCTAGTTTGTTGGCATCTAGGATCTGCTTTAATGGGCATGCGGTCCTCCACAGAAGAGAGGGTAGTGGGAAGGCTCCTTCCACTGACTAGTAGGAGGAGTAGTGTGGCAGACAGACAGACAGCCTTTCCCTGGAAGCTGGCTTTTGATGTGGAATGAGTCATGACCACTTTCCAAGTTCAGCATAAGTTCAAGGTTGTCCTGCAGTGACTAGGAAGTGGGAGTTTTGAAGATCCTGGTCTCAGCAGTACAGAATAAACCCCTTAAAGAAGCCGTGGATTAAAATATGCCATTGCCAATTAATGGTTTGTCTTCGGGCCCTGAGATGAATGATCGCCTTTGGGGCGATCATTGGCATTTTGGACTTTTTTCTCACAAGAACGAAACCTCTTTAACAAGATTGACAAAGAGGCTATTGTGTGAAAAGTGAAATATAATAGATGCTAATTTGTAGTTCACTTTCCTCCTGCGTTAAATTACACGATTGTGTTTCTGGATCTCTAGCTGTGGAGCACGTTGTCGCTGAAGCTTGTAGATTTGAATGAGTGATTGTTCTTGGGTTTCTGAAAGGTACCAAGTTTCTTGTGTCTTGGGGCACTTTTTCCCTTGCTCAGCCACAGGAGAAAACTGTAGGATTCTGCAGTGTGACAAGCATTCCCTAGAAAAATAGATACAATCAGCTCCACTTTTTAACAAGTTGGCCTTTTTAAAATGCCATAATTGCAATTTGATCCATTCAGAACAGTGGAGTTCTATGTATAATTTAAATTTCCGTGTGTGCGTGTGTGTGTGTGTGTGTGTGTGTGTGTGTGTGTATTTGGGGGGGGCATTGCGTCAGGGTTTCTCTGTGTAGCCAGGCTACAGAATTTTTTGCTTTTGTTTTTGTTTGTTGTTTGTTTTTGTTTTTATGGGTTTTTTGTTGTTGTTGTTTTGAGAGAAGGTTTCTCTGTGTAGCCTTGGCTGTCCTGGAACTTACTCTATAGACCAGGCTGGCCTCCAACTTAGAGATCCACTTAGTTCTGCCTCCCAAGTGCTGGTATTAAACACTTGTGCCATTGTGCCCAGCTAAGTTAAGTTTCTAATGACTAAATGTTTCTGAAACCTTCCAAGAAAAATATGTATGTTCCTTTTGCTGTGTCATTTGGTAAAACTGCTGAGCCAGTGAAGAACAACTTGAAACGTAAGTTCATCTTCGGTTTTGTTCCACAAAGTTCAAAAGATGATGGTGTCAGAAAACAGTCTTGTAAAGAACACATCAGAAGCTTGTCCCTCTGCTGAACTCCTTGGTGCTTCCGTGGCAGGTGCTTGGCCCCACTCTGCTCACGTTCATCCAAAGAGGGGGAGGGCTCTCAGTCAAGGCTGTTGTGTCTGCAGACAACAGCAAACGGTGCTGTAGTTCTGTGCTGTGCTGTGTCCCTAAATAAAATGTTTCTAAGTAACAAAGAGTCGTGGCCTTTCCTACCTTCTTTGGGAGTGCCTTCACTGAAGATGGAGCAGAGGATGGTCTCCCAATGCCTTGAGGCTCATCCCTGTCTGGTGATGTGTGACATTCGGGAGTCTCCACGACACTTGCTCAAATCCAGCTGGCAGTATCTGACGGAAGTCCTTGATAAAAGGCCCACAGGCCGGGGTTTATAAAGTGTGACATTTGTATTGTCTGGTTGAAAGCTGTTGGGACTGCGTGCAGATGGACATGAGCTGGCCTGCTCCAGAGGAGAACACGTCTACAATAGAAATTAATACACTTTGCAGGTT